TTGTGCTCCGACCGAGAAGATGTGACCACCGACCTGCGGATACCGACCGCAACAACGGTAACCAATCGGCCACCACGCGACGACGACGACGTCAACGAAGCATTATCCCATCCAAGTTCTTGAGAGGCAAGATCAACAACTCCCACATTTAAAACAACTCCCAATTGATCAACTTGCACGCCAGCGAAGTACCGTCCGCCCCACAATTGCTGAGCGCCCAAATCCAGCAACTCTTTATCGACGCCGCTGCCTCCAGCAGTGCCGCCTGAAGTTCGGCCTGGAGCGACAGAGGCGAGGCAGCGCAGGACAACCCCGAATCATGCCAACGACCCGACCAGGGCTCGGCACGACTCCGCCGCTTTCTCGCGCAGCGACTGCCGATGTCCAACGACGACCACTACAACCACAAGCAGCCGAGCAAGCTTATACAGCAAGAGATCCGCACACAGGACCTGGCGGCACGGCGGGCCCAGATGGCACACCTTCTTCACCATCTCAGAGACTTGACGAGCCTCACGAGCACCCAAACCGTCAAAGCGGTACCCGCACGACTGAGAACGAGGGCACCAAACGCACCACGCGACACGTAATTTAATGGCAGACGTTGACGCAGAGCTATATGAGCACCTGTACAGCTCAGTAGCAGCACCAGCGCAGCAGGAGCGAGCAGGCAACGTCTTCCGCCTTTCACAAGGAAATACTTGAACAAGGAGATCAACATGGCTGAGGCGTGGTAAAGCTCCCCAGCACCAAGAGCCTCACTGCAGAGATGCTGCGAGAGGGTCCAGAAGAATTCAACAGTGCACCTCTCCACTTTTACAGCCTAGCCATCCAACTCAACGCCTATCCGCTGGCCAGGTCGAAGAACACAGTCACCACAGTGGTGCCAAGAAGTGGGAATCAAATGCACGATGCCAATATTTTTCAAGTTGTCCAACCGACTGCTCTACGACACGCTCCAACCAACACTTGACTCGTCCCAGACTGCCGACCAGACGGTCTTCAGACGAGGCCAGTTGACCCTCGTGAACTTTGTAACATCCCACCTCTTGCGGGAGCGAGCAACACATGGGACCACATCATGGATCGCAGCACCCCGTATCAAACAAGCTCCCCGCCAAGTCGAGCACGAGAGCATGTGAGCAGCAGTGAAATCACAGAGCATACAGGTCCAATATGTTTTGTCGTTGCAGCCCGTCTGCGATGGAGAAACACAGCAACGGTGAAGGCATACGTCAGCCCGTTCAGCCTCCTACGGGGTACGCGAAGCAGGGCGACCCACGCATACACATCGTTCAGCTCTTTTTCTAATTGTTCCTGGCCGCTAGGGGGCCAGGAACACTTAGAAACTAGCACGATTAGAAATGAGCTCGATTAGAAATGAACGACGTGTATGTCTGTTCCCCAACGACCTTCTGCAACACGTCCTTGTGTCGCTGGTCACCGCGTGGCCACCCATGGGGCATGGGAGTAAAGTTTGGGCTCGCGGCCGCCGCCCTGCTCACCGACCTTCGCTTCGTCGTCGACGTGATCCGCCCTGCTCACCGACCTTCGCTTCGTCGTCGACGTGATCCCTGACCAGCCAAGTTCCCGCACCTGGTCACGATGATCGACTACACCGCCTTGACAAAAGATTATGCGGTCTTATGATATGTTGGAATCTACTATCCCTCTGACGATTCCTAGCATTGGCATGCGTCCTCCGCGATCCCGCGGAGTAATTCGTCTACCTCTAATCAATAACATTGTTATCTCAAAACAGGATCGGAAATTACGCCGCCCATTCCTATATGAAAAATGGGACGGGATGCATGTCCACGCGGAGTAATTTCTACTTCGCCCACTCCGTTTACTCCGCCAGTCTTGAGTCATGTTGAATGAAGACCGCATAATACTTTTGTCACGGCAATGTATATTTTGCTCGCAGCAAAGCTGCGCGGACTCGAGCTGCATCCGAGCACGACCACGATATCGAGCAGCCAAACGACGAGAAGGATTGAAAGGGCGTGCTCACGCACAGCGCGTGTCAAGGACATAGGTGTGGTATCCTGTCATACGAAGACAGTCTCAAGAAACTCGGGCGACTGACCAACTCCCACGAACCGATGTGCATGGACATACATTACTGCACGACAAATGCATGGGCGTCATACGCTTCTCGCAATCAGGACCTGACCAGCAGGCACTACCCGCTGGCACACCGACTTTGCTCGTCAACAGCGCAGTATCCCCGACAGCATTCTGCAGAGTAGACACGTGGACGTTCAGCGAGCCCCTTCGGCAGCACCTACGGCGTATGCAGCGACGGATGCATGATCACCAGGACAACGCGAAGACACACAACGGACCTCCCCGACCCCCGCACCAGAATGGGATTTACGGCTCCCGGCGTCGCAAACAACAATGCACCAGACATTAATGGTCTTTGCGCCGACGGCACCAGCGACGACGCGGACAACAGCCCGCCACACCGCAGCACATTTGCTACGCCAGACCGGCAAACCGACGGCGACGAAACAGCGCCAATTTAGACCCGAATGGACGTGGGGCCGGTTACATCCAGCGAACCACATTACGCGCAGAGCATTTCAAGAGACACCACCGCATCGACAGTTCGGCGACGGTGCACAAGCGGAGGTCATGGCGCATGGCTTCAAACATCGGTCAAACATCGCGAACCACGACCGCGCAGGGTGCACATGGAGAGCGCTCCAGTTGCAACCACACATGACTCCACACCAACGCGGTCAGAGACAGCACGGCGGCCAACACAGCGCTGAGACGACCAAGTGCATAGTTGTTAAATGTTCACACCAAAGATAACCAGACCAAGACTTCCATCGACCACACTTAACCGTTCACTGACCGCCGTCCACGGTTACCCTCTTAAGATGGCCACCGACTGGCCATACAGGGGTGCAAATTTCCGAAGACATCCCCAAGTGAGCAACGCTCGAGCATAGCTACACCGACCCAAGACGAGCAGGCATCCAAGTTCAATAGCGAGAGCACCCGGCGGACACCGAGAGGACACATGCATTTCGCGCCTGGATCCCCCCTTCCTCCACATCCTCTGCCTCGTCTCCCTCCTTTCTACAATATGCAGCACCATGTTTTTTACGTCTATCGTATGGCATGTTGTCCACATGGGCCATATTCCAACGGCCACAGCCTCGCCCACTTGGTCTGAGCTAGGCCCGCACGGTTGTTTGCAGCGGTGCTCGTTAATTCGTTATTTTGCGTTGTCTGGTTTGGTCGGTGCGTCATGATTCATTGAAGACGTCCCAGCGCCACTGCGTACGCAAGGTCTCTCGCCGAGGGAGTCCCAGTCCCTCTTGCGGATCGAACTTATTGTGGTAAATGTTGTGAGCGCAAAGGTTTGGCAACAGGGGGATTCGCAAAAAGTGCGTTCAGCTCGTGCCGACCATGAAATGTTGTATGCGTGCCATTCTGTCTTTCTTTCCCAACCAGTGCTTTCAACTAAAGGTTTCTCGGACGTATAAGAATTGCTGGGGCCACGTCATGTCCCGGGGTGCCCGAGATTGTCATGATATGGTCGAAGAGTGCCGCTGATTTTTGACGAGGTCCCAGGTTCCCGATCGTGGGTCGTGGTGACAGTTTCCCGCGAGTGCAGAGCGCAGGAAGCAGAGAAAATATAACAGAAAGCGAAGAGCTGCGCGTCGAGAGTGGGCAGTATGTGGTACATAGTAGCGAGTGTAGTGTAAAGGGCGAAATGTATAGGTCATAGCATGTAATGTAGGGGTACAGGGTAGAACGTAGAGATTAGAAAGCGGCGAGTTGAGAGTATATCGTGGAAACACATGTGTAATCAAATTCGTCATCCTTTATTCTCGCCCACTGCGAACTCGCTTTTTTTGCATCTTGCGCACGAGCATGTTGATTGGGGCTTTCCCCGGAGCAATCATTCGGGTACGTGGCCCGCTAGGAGGTTGTAGATCAACGCTATCAGAGGGGCCAGTCCGACACATTATGATGATAGTGGCGGGCCAACGCCACAGTGGAGTTTAGCTTGATGAGCATGCTGAGCATGGCACGCGTCATAGCTGAAACGAGGAGGATAGGCGCGGCAAATGTGGCAAGAACGGCATCCGTGATCGGCATGATTACATGGGCGTGCTTGTCTTGGTCAGACGAACGCGGACAGAATGTGACAATGAAGTGCGAGGTCAGCGTGAGGAACGCTACAGCCAACCCTCATAGTGAGGATGAGCGACGTTCCAAGGTTGCCCTCGCATCCTCCCCCTGCGGCCCCATCCTTGGCCGCTTTCGCTGGCCGCGCCCCGCCCGCAGAGTGTCGACATGGCCTTCCGAGGCTCTTGCGTCCTTATCGTGCGTCCTCAGTGTACGGTCAAGTCGGGCATGTCCCCCTACAGGAGGAGTATTCAGAAATAGTTGAAGAATAATCAGCGGACTTTTTCTCTTCAGTAGGTTTCGGCAAGTTTTGGTGAATTTTTGGGGAATTTTTAAATTTTTCACCCCGAATCCGCCCGTAGGGGGACATACCCGACCTAAGTGTACGGGGTGGACTGTCCGAGGTCGATCTCTTGAGGAGCAAGGGCGAACGTGGCACGATCGTTGCGCACGAGTGGCGAGATTTCATCGGCCCCGGTGGCCCCGCCTACGTTGGCGCTGAAAGCAGCCTGGCAGGCTCCAGGATTGGCACCAGGAAGTTCACATCGGCATTCGCTGCCCCAGTACCTGCAGGGTTTCTCCGAAGGGCTGAGGCGACCCGTTCTCCTCCTCCTCCTCCTCCTCCTCCTCCTCCCTTCTCCTCCTCCTCCTCCCTCCTCCTCCTCCTCCTCCTCCTCCTCCTCCTCCTCCTCCTCCTCCTCTATCTCCTCCTCCCCCTCCCCTTCCTCCACCTCCTCCTCCTTCTCCTCGGATCGCCTACGGTCCCTGGGGAAACCGTGCACCGGTACCTGTGCTCTGTACCAGTTTGGTCAAACTCCTCCTCGTCCTTTTCGGTACCGTTCCCCGAGACGGTGGTGCACATGGCACCACCTTTGCGGCAGAGCGGCAACTACGTGATCTCGCTCGGAATGTTGTGCAGATGGCTCGCGGAGCAGGCCGAGGAGCTACAACCGCTGCGACTGCCTCTTACCCTGCCACGCCGCTCTTTCCTTTTTTTTTTTTTTTTTTTTTTTTTTTTTTTTTTCTCTCTCTCTCTCTCTCTAAATGTTCTTGGTTACTCTCTCTGTCTCTCTTTCCATCTGTCTCGCCCTCTCCCTCTCTCACTACCTCTCTCCCTCTCTCTGTCTCCTGCTCTTTCTGCCTCCCTCTTGTCTCCATCTACTTTGACATAGTATGTCTGTATGTAGGTACTGGTACTTGCATGTGCATGCATAGGTGACATTCTATGTATGTAGATAAGTCCTCTCACTCTCTCTCTGTCTCTCTCTCTCTCTCCCCCCCTGTCTCTCTCTCTCTCTCTCTATCTTTCTCTCTCTCTCTCTATTCTCTCCCCCCCCCTCTCCCCCCCCCGATTCCTCTCCCTTCCCCCTTTGCCTCTTTCCTAACCAATTCGCTCCAGCCACCCTCACCCGAGGGGGGAGGAGGAGGAGAAACCTCAAAATTGGACATCGTGAACCTATAGGACGTCGTGAACACATCACGACTAGAGTTTCCGATCCAAGCTTTCCTATCAAACATAAATGCGGCATTTGTAGCCACACCATTCCGTGGGAGTTCGGGCGGGAGCGGAATTGTGCGAAACGCGTGCTGCTATGTTTCACGACGCCCGGGTGCGAGGGGAGTAGGAGGAGGAGAGCGACGACGACCGTCAGCTTGATTTTGTGAGGCCGTTCATGTGACCGCATCCAGCGAGAGTCGAAAACGTTTCGCCTACGCGCATGCCATCCATCTCATCCTTCTGCACTGGCGGCGTGCAAGAGTGGACCAGGGCGAACGGGACCCTTCTTCTTGAAGGCAGGGGGCCTCTTAGAAGGGATGGCCCCGTTGAAAGCCGAACGCCCCACGAGAAGCGGGAGGGTGGTTTCTTAGAAGCACGCTCCCCCTATCGCCCTGCCCCTTTTGCCCGCCGCACTTTGATGATACCCTTTCGCATTCCGTACCACCCGCTAGAAGGATGCAGAGGATGCAGGGTAGGTTTTGTTGAAAGCGGGGCGCTCGCCTGAATGGCATTGGGCGCTTGTTGTAGTGAAGAAGAGGGCTTGCATGGACGCCTGGGGGAGAGAATCGGGACGGGAGGGTGTATTGCAGCATTGTTGATGCATTTTGGGTTTGCCGCTCTGGTCCTCCTCATCGCCCGCCATCTTTGACGTTGGGCAAGCTTCAAGTACTATGCTTGCAGCGTGTATCGTCCGCCTCCTCGTCCTCCTTGCCCCCCCATCTTCACCTGAACCGCAGGAGCTGGGGGTGGACATATTTCCTGGCTTTGCCGCCGCGGCGCCCGTCATCTGCGAGGACACTGGTGCTGTCAAGGGCGTGCAGCTCCAGGATGTTCCGCGTCGCTCGGCGGGTGGAGAAGGGAGGGATCAGAGGGGGTAGAAATAAGGAGGAGGAGGAGGAGGTTAAGGCCATGTGATGAGGAGAGGGGCGAGAGGGCAAGTTCGGCGAACTCGCGCCATGTCGGATATCCGACCCCTCTCACCCATCCCTTTCCATTGATTTGATGTGCTGATATTTCTCTATCCGCGGAAGCGTGTAATAGCGAAGATGGAACTTCAAGCCGGACCTCATCGTGCTATGCGCAATCGGAAAAGGGGGAGCTGCGCACATAGGAGGAGGAGGAGGAGGAGGAGGTGGAGGAGGAGGAGGAACAGGAGGAGGAGGAGGAGGAGAAGGGGGAGGAGGAGGAGCAGGAGGAGGAGGCGGCGGACGAGCAGCATAATGAGCAGGAGGAGAAGCAAGAGGATGAGGAGGGATGAGCATGAAGACGAACAGCAGCAGCAGGAAGTGGAGCGGCAGGAGCGGAAGGAGCGGAAGGAGCGGGAGGAGCAGGGGAAGGCAGAGGAGGGGAAAGGAGGTGGCGACAACGATGAGGAAATATTCGAATCCAAAGATGTGGCCCACGCTAGAGCGAGAACACCCCTCCCAACGACGGGAGCAAGCCCCAATATTAAAACGAGGCCCACGTTGCAGCGGGAACACCACTTTGGTTAGGACCGAAAGCGTGCGGATTGGACAACACAAAAACACAGCAGAAAACCGGCTCGGACCCATACAATGTGTAAAACACACTGCGCGGACGGGGGGTGCGCGATTCTCAGGCCGCCTTCGGGGGAGAGAGGAGGGTAGTACTACTGTTGATTAATTTCGGAGGGGAGGGATGAGGGAGATGAAACGCAGAGAGAGGATACGACAGGAGAGGGAGAGGAGGAGGACAAGGAGGAGGAGGATGAGGAGGGGGAGGAGAAGGAAGAGGAGGGGGAGGAGGAGAAGGAGGAGGATGACAAGGAGGAGGAGGGAGGAGGAGGAGGAGGAGGAGGAGGAGGAGGAGGAGGAGAAGGGGGGAGGAGGAGGAGGAGGAAGAGGAGAAGGAAGAGGAGGATGAGGAGGATGAGGAGGAGGAGTAAAGAAAAAGAAGAAGACGGGGCGGAGGAAGAGGAGGAGGAGGATAATGCTCGAGGACCTGATCAGGGGTCGTCCCCAGGGCTCGACCAGGGCCTTGTTTCCCTTCCGCCATAATTGATCTCTCTCTCTATATATATATATATATATATTTATTTATGTATACAAGCATATCTACATATATATACTTATATATATATACATATATATTATATGTATGTATATATATATATATATATATATTTGTCTATGTGTGCACATGTATACATATATGTATGCATGTCTATGTATACACATACACACACTGACGCATTCCAAGGGATTTCTCCTGGGCCTCTGGGGCGGCAGTTGGCGGTGTACCAATCACAACTGAGGGCCAGCGGCCAGCTACACCTCGACTGCGAGCGAGGGGGGTAAGTGAGAAGGAAAAGGCCTTCTCAGAAGGCGGCGGGGCTTCGCAGAAGCCCTCGCGCCTTCTGAGAAATTTCCCGTGTCTTCGGGGAGAGCATCGAACACTTGTCAGAAGGCCGGGCGACCGTCGAGTCTTCTGAGAAGGCCCGCCCCTTCTCACTTCCCCCCGGGCTCGCCGCGGAACACGGCCGTGTGTGTGCATACAGGGCGGCGTGCCGTGGGTTCCAGCGTGCGGCCTTCTGTCAATCAGAGGGCGCCTGGGGGGCACCAGGGCAAGTCCGTCTCGGACGCGAGGTTTTCCCGTGCGTTTGCCGCGGTGCCGGCTGCGTCTGGCTTGGGCGCGTTGAGGACCAACGGCGCGGCGGTTCTCGTGGCGTAGATTCGTCTGCGTGGGCGCGCTTGGAGCAAACATCTTGTTCGGTAGCCAATCATGGGAGCCTGGTGTATCCTTTTAAGTCAGTCTTTAGCGTCGACTAGCGTCGATTAGCGTCTCGGAGTCGATGGGATGGCCAAGTTTAGCGTCGATTAGCGTCGATCAGCGTCGAATTAGCGTCGATTTAGCGTCGACTAGCGTCGATTCCGCAAGAGCCGACGAGATGGTATGGGAGGCTCTCATGAGTTGCCACACTTCAGCTTCTCTTGGCGTAGGTTCTCCTCCTCAGGGCCTGGTCTGGGCTCGAGGCGCGCCCATTTCTGCTCGGATGCAACTCCTGGGAGGGGAAATTTGACTTCGCCCTGGTTCGAAATCTGGCTTGATCCGGCTTCATCCCGCTTCATCCGGTTTCATCCCCTTTTTATCCGGCGCTCAGTCCGGCTCAATCCCGCTCCATCCGCGGCCTGCTCCGGCGCCGCAGCCCCCCAGTGGGGCTTGCACTCCTCCCCAGCCCTTCCGACGGAGACCTCCCCACAGCTCTCCCTGGCATCGCTCGGACGTGTGCATTTTTTCTCGGCGCAGATCATCGAGGAGCATCTTGCTCACCTTGTGAAAAAATACTCCGACGGAAGAACCCCACATAAGAATCCTCTGGGCGAATCTGGAAAAAACCATCACCGTCGTCCTCGTGGTTGGTGAGGCGTCCTGGCTGTCTCTTCTGCGAATATTTCCTGTCGCCTTGGCGCGGGCCCCCCTTCCACTCCTTACGTTGTCCCCATCCTCGCCCCCCTGTTTGTTCCGCGCCCCGCCACCTCCTCCCCTTCCTGTTGCATGAGCGCGCATGTCGATGTTCCTCGGCGCCGTCGCCGCCACGGCCAGCACAGGCGCGTTCTCTACTGGTCACGTCGCGCAGCCGTTGGGACAACCCCGCGGGCCAGGCTGTCGGGACAACCCCGCGAGCCGTTGGCGCGCAAGACCAAGCCGTTGGGACAACCCCACGGGCTTCGAGCGAGGCGCAACCGCGCTCAGGCGGAAGGCAGCACGAAGCCCAGCTCTGCCGCGAGCTGCTTCGCCTCCGCCCTGGACAAAACCGCCTGAGACTTCCTCCATATTCAGGCTTGAGGAGCCCAAAAGTGACGACAGTTACAGGCTTCCGATGACCCGCTCGGATTACCAACATGATCTGCGGGCCCCATAGGGAGGGAGCTCCCGCCTGAGACTTCCTCACAATTCACTCAGAAACGAGGCTCCCGCCTGAGACGTCCTCCATATTCAGGCTTGAGGAGCCCAAAATTGACGACAGATTACAGGATTCCGATGACCCGCTCGGATTACCAACATGATCTGCGGGCCCCATAGGGAGGGGGCTCCCGCCTGAGACTTCCTCACAATTCACTCACAGACGAGGCTCCCGCCTGAGACTTCCTCCAAATTCAGGCTTGACGAGCCCAAAAGTGACGACAGTTACAGGTTTCCGATGACCCGCTCGGATTACCAACATGATCTGCGGGCCCCATAGGGAGGGGGTTCCCGCCTGAAACTTTCTTCAAATTCAGGTTTGAGGAGCCTAAAAGTGACGACAATTACAGGTTTCCGATGACCCGTTCGGATTACCAACATGATCTGCGGGCCCCATAGGGAGGGAGCTCCCGCCTGAGAGAATTCACTCACAGACGAGGCTCCCGCCTGAGACTTCCTCCAAATTCAGGCTTGAGGAGCCCAAAAGTGACGACAGTTACAGGTTTCCGATGACCCGCTCGGATTACCAACATGATCTGCGGGCCCCATAGGGAGGGAGCTCCCGCCTGAGACTTCCTCCCAATTCACTCACAGACGAGGCTCCCGCCTGAGACTTCCTCCATTTTCAGGCTTGACGAGCCCAAAAGTGACGACAGTTACAGGTTTCCGATGACCCGCTCGGATTACCAACATGATCTGCGGGCCCCATAGGGAAGGGGCTCCCGCCTGAGATTTCCTCACAATTTATTCAACGATGATGAGGATGAGGATGATGAGTGGTGGTGAAGATGAGTGGTGAAGAGGATGATGATTGATTGTGAGTGGTGGTGGCGATGATGATGTTTGAATGAGGATGATGCCGATGATGATGATGATGTTCGTGAGCGTGTGCGAGAGAGTGCGAGTGATGATGATGATGAGTATGTGAGTGACTAAGCATGTGAGAGAGCATCATTGATGATGCTGATGAGGTTGATGATGAGAGAGTGTGAGTGGGTGTGAGTGGGTGTGTGTGTGTGTGTGTGTTCCTTCCTGTTCCTGCGCGGGGTGTCCAGAGAAAACAAGAACCCCACTTTGGATGTGGGGAAAAACACGCACGAAACCGAACAATGCACAGGGAATGGACGTCCGAGCGATGGCGAGTCTCCTCCTCTCTTCCAGTCTGGTCTGGGCTCGAGGCGCGCCCATCTCTGCACCGAGGCCCCGCCCCCCGCGGCGGGGCCGCGACCTCGCCCGCCCGCACGGCCCATGGCGGCGGCGTGCGGCGGGGCCTGCGGGGGCCTGCGGGGCCCGCGAGAGCCGAGCCCCTCCCCGGGCCTCGGCCGCGCCCCGAGCAGGTCCGACCTCGGGGAGGGCAGGGGAGGCCCTCGGACCCCCACCGCGCTGGCCGACAAAATCACGACGGGAGGCCCTTCGCTGTCTTCGGCCTCTGGGGGCCCGTCCCGGGCCCCAGGACCGCCAAGAAAGGGTTCAGGATAGAGAGCCGGTCCCGGGGAAGGGGTCCAGACCTCTGGGGGTAGACGTCGCATGAAAGAATCACGGCGCCGGGGTCTGGGGAGGAGGGAAGAGGATCGGCCCAGGCCTCCTATAGATGGGGTCGGAGGAGGTGGGGTCGGAGGATCGCGCCGCATCGCCGATGCATCGCCGATGCGGCTCCGATGCGGCTCGATGTGGAGCCCGATTTGCTTCACGGCGACGTCGCCGGTGCATCGCCGACGTCGATGATGCATCGCCGGTGCATCCCCGATGCATCGCCGATGCATCGGCGATGCGGCGCGATCCTCCGACCACATCTACTCCGACCCCATCTGGGAATCCTCTAGTCGGAGAGGGCTAGTTCGAGGTTCAATCCGCTCCAGAGCTTTCCGGAGCGTGCCTTCTGGAACGCTCTGAGAAGGAGCGGCGCCCGAGACGTCTTCCAGAGCCTCCAGATCTCAGAGATTCTCGATGTATCTTTACCCGATGCTGTCCTCGTCCTGGCTTCGTCTCAGGGAAGAGGAGGAAGGAGAGGCACGCATCGAACGGTTTTTCACGGAGCTCAACAGGAATGGGTGTCTGAAGGGATTCAAGAACCGTTCTGTATGTGGGAGGCCGAGGAAGAGGAGGGAAGTTGGAGGAGGAGGAGGAGGCGTCGCGTCCGCCGTTTGGTCGTTCCCTCTGGCGATCGCCGGGAAGGAGGAGCCAGGCATCGGCTACCAGCGAATCTGCTTTCAGTGTCGAGCGTCGGGGAGGAGGAGGTTGCTCAGTTTTGCGCGGCACCTTGACAGCACTCGCATTAGTAGGAGGGCGCCGAATGCTCGCAGTGCAATCGTGTTCCCGCACTTGCTCGCCCGTAGCGTGCGTGCTTGCAGGCACCATCGTTGCCCGCCCTCTCCTTCGGGCCAGTGGGCGCCCAGACGCTGCGTAGAACTCACATCTACAACGGAAATGTAAGCAACGCAGGGGTTGTGGTGTCCGCAAGCGCTGTGGTGCACCCGCGCGTTCCGGTGTGCGCAGGTGCTGCGGCGAACGCGGCTGCTGTGGTGCACGCGGGCGCTGCGGTGCACGCAGGCACTGTGGTGTACGCGCGCAGCACACATCGGGAGCAGGCAGTGCGGTACAGATTTGGGGCAGTGTTTGTGCTATGCCTCGGATCTGGAGGCGGTAGAAGCAGAGTGCTGTGACACCTGTTATTGTGCAGCGTAGATACAACACGGCAGCAGCAAACACCAACACACAATAATGCTCGAAGGACAGTGTGGAGGATGCAAACATTGTGGTGCTGCGCGATGGTGCACGTATGCGCTGCGCAGTACATCGGCGATGTGGTGCATTTGGCTGCGGTGGTGCATGCTGTGCTTCGCTCGGTGGTGCTTGTTGTGATGCGCACAAGCGCTGTGGTGCCGGAACCGCACGGCGAGCAGGGGGGCGTTACGTTACGCCCCCCTCCCGCCCCCCATAATGCGCTTTATGGCCGCGATTCTATCAACGCGCTTTTCCATCGTATTCACGATGTGTTTCGTGAGAGCGTGTTGAGTGGACCATCCGCGTGCTCTTATCACACAGCTGTTCCTTACATCGGCTCCTCCTCCTTATCGTAGCCGAGGATAGCGTGCTCGTCGGCGGAAGGGCACTCGCTCGTAGCTCGTGGCAATCAATACATATGAAGACCTTTCGACCGTCGAAGGGTTATGTATCGTGCCCCCCCCTCCATGTCCGAGATGCTGTTGCCATGTTCTAATGCCTGGAATACCAGTAGGTCATGTTTCCATTGGCGAGCCCACGAGTAAGCGTATGCCTGTCCTGGTCGGTTTCAGTACGTGTATCCGTCGGCCCTCGACTTGTCAAAGCACACTGCTATAAGTTGCCGATTGTTGTCTCGCTCCGGAACCATGCTCTGCAACAGCTTCAATATTCGATTCCGGGGCTCGCAGACAAGAGATGCTACTTTGGACTTCTTCAAAGAGTCATGCGCAGAGCAACTGGCAACAAACGCAATTTGATGTTGCCACACAGCAGTACTCCCGAAAATCGCACGGCCGTTGCGCATGATGACGGCCCCGAGCGCAGGCATGTGGCTGCTGGCGAGACAGATCTTTCGGCAATCACTTGGATCCCAATGCTAGCAACGTTGACCAGTAGATGTTGTATTAGGGAGTGGTTGACACCTAAACTTGCGCTTTCCGTTGCTCAATATCTTCCCATGGCGAAGCAGGCTCCTTGGATGGTTTTCGTTATCTTGTCTAGCCTTGGGATCGCTGTACACTTGCTTGCTTGCTTGTGAGGGGTATGGGGAGGAGGAGGAGGAGGAGGAGGAGGAGGAGGAGGAGGAGGAGGAGGAGGAGGAGGAGGACCAGGAGGAGGAGAAGGAGGATGAGGAGGGGGGGGAGATTTGTTGCAATGTAGGACACCTGGTTACCGTGCAACTGCTGGCGCTTGGTTCAAAAATTAGAGCCCCCTTCCGGCGGTGTATGTACTTTCATCCATGGCCGCTGACGGCAAAACGACGCTCCATATTTTCCCACGAGTGTATTGCAAACGTTGTATGGTAGAGGGAAGAGGTTATGGAAACAAGAGCAGGTGCAGCGAGACCTGCACCACGAAAGGGTTGGATTGAATACGACGTTGCCACCGTCGGAGTTGTATTTTCCAAAGCGTGCGGTCAAGTCTACAGTGAGTTTGTTAATGGCGCGATGACAGACTACATTGGACAATCAGAGCGGGCGGGTAATCAAGATTTGCCCAGTCAGTGACCCAGCGATGTGTGTAACGGGGGTGTCCAGATAGTCGAGCGCAGCATTTTATGACATCACCAAGTCACCAATCGCGAGAGCAAAAACGAGGCGGATGCCACGCCAGTGGGGGCGCGAAGCTCCTACATGGAAAAGCTGACCGAACAACGTGCGAACACCAATGTGTTCCTCGCTTAGATCGGAGAGCGGTGGGATCTAACAGAACCATAACCACGAACGGCCCGTGAGTGAACCGAGGGCAATCCAAGTATTGAGAATCTCCAACGGAGATTCGACGAAACTTCGGGGATGGAAACGGCAGACTACTAAACGCACTGGCGCAAACTGCGAAGCTTTCAAGTTACCAGATTCACGAATCGAAGTGTAGGGCGGAGCTGTTCCAGGGCCGAGCCAGGATGGCAGTAAAATGAGAAGAACCAGCGGGATGATGACATCAGCAGACACAAGAAAATATCAACAGAAAAGGAGTGCGACGAAGACGAGAGCGAACATTAATGCATTTTTGACGAGGATTCGATTCACAAGCTAGACGAGGACTTTTGGCTTATCCGAAAAGGGAAGAATTGGAAAGCGCTCAGGCGCGAGGCCAGCTACACGGCTGTAGAGAAGGTGAAAGGGGTGTGTGTGTGTGTGTGTGTGTGTGCTTACGTGAAGATCTGTAAGTGGTGCTCTGCCGTAGCAGGGGTCATATCATCCACCAGGATGAACTCGGCCATAATGGCCCCGACAGGCCTCGGAAGATAAATGGCGCATCGATCCAGCTCGAGCAGTGGGTTTCACTGGGCAAGAAGCTTGAGAAGGACAGTGAGTCGTACGAACTGCTTTACTGGTGAAGACGGCAGCTCTCAAGGTCATTATGGCGCGCGCCGGGGAGTGGTTCGACGATCGGCGGTGAGGTCGCCCGAATTCACCCAAATCCTCAACGTGCGGACCAGACAATAAACTATATTTGCCATGCGAGAAGTGGGCGCGTAAAGAAACTTCATTGGATGCTGGCGGGAAGCGCGGTGATCCGATGGGCGTTGGAGGAGTTCGCCGGAGAAGAGAGCGTCTGGAATGGGGGCCTCAGCCGTGAAGTCACCGCGAATCATATGGCGAAGAGGGCATCGGGTGGCCCTTGGAGGAAGAAGGCGACGCAGGCTGGAATGGCGACCGAGGCTGGGGCGACGCAGGCGCGGGCGCAGTCGACAACGGAAAAAAGGGCACGACGTGTTACGCGCTGCAGCGCGGCGAAAATGGTCACGCGGCCGGGAGCTGCAGAGCGAATGGCGACGGCAAGAACGGCAGCAGAGGGAATGGGGGCCCAGGCCGGAAATGAGGCTACTGCACGGTTAACTGCAGAGACTACGAGGGGGCTGGCAAGCCACCGGGGCAAACGGGGGGCGATCCAGGTGGCAGGGGGCGCGTGCCGACGAGTGGGCGGGGATGTTTTCTGTCGCGGACGCAACGGCCGCGCTGCCGCCAATTGCGCCAGAGGGGCCAGCGACGTTGGACGCGCCAGCGCTGAACAAGGAATGCGCGACCTCGGGCAGCCCCGGCCAGAGACGGGCACAGGACGCGTTGCCGCTATCTGGGGCTACCCGGATCCACCTGCACCACGGTGGGAAGCGCCAGTCAAGGTAAGTCAGAAACTGGCGCGCGACATGAAACAGCGACCCAAACGCCAGAAGGTGATGCGCCAGATATGCGCTCGTCGCGAGGCCTCCGAACGCGCGGGCGCCCGCGGAAGTGGGCAATTCGTGAGACAGAAGACGAGAGCGCAGTTCCCAGGGCCTGTCCAAACGTAGAAGTGGTCGTGGTCATTGTCGACTGCGGACCCTATGGCGCAGTCTGGCCACTTGACGTCGGGGCGCACGTCCCAGTGAAACCGACGGGGGACTCGACAGACGGTCGCCAGTGCAGCGCAGCCAACAGGGCAGCCCTGGGGGGCCGCGGGCGGCATGTGGTTGCAGCGCGCAACGGAGCAGATGACAATATGTTCTTGCCCATGCAAGTCGCCGGCGTCAAGCAGCGCTGGGGTCTGCGCGCAGAATTGAGCCGGTGGCGGGGCTGCCGCGGATCAGGATGCTCGCAGTAGATCGCTCAGGCAACTGGGACAAGAGCCA